AGAGCCCAGGAACTGATGGTTTTATAATTCATTTTCATAATCACACCAAGTTTGAGTATATGCAGGCATTTGGAAGGAGAGAGATTGTATACCTCTTAATCTTCTCCAGTTCACAGGTGGACATCCGATTATGTTTTTTTCTGTCGATCAGCACTGCCATGAGCCTGAGCATACCAGATGCTCAGGGGAGATCATCTGTTTTGAAGTCCGTACTTGAACTTGTATAGAAGCTGCCGATCTGGGACGACCTTGAGTTGATCATTGCTGAGAGATTGGACTTAAGACACGCTCCCTGGCACAGCCCAGAGACTCTTTCAGCTCCCTTCCAGAGACAGTCTAACACACTGACACCCTGAGGTAGTTTCAGAGATCAAATCAGATTAGCTTGGAGAGCCAGAGCAGAAAGCATCAAATCTCTGTTGAACCATCAGAGGAGAGAGAATATATGACTCGGAACCAGTCAGAATAGGTTCAGCTTCCAGCTCTGCAAGTCAATCCCTTTATCACCTTAGACATGTCATCATACTAATTATTTTCCTCACAGATTTTATTCATTCAGAAAATGCTAATGGAGTGCTTGCTATGCACCTGGTGTGCTGTGTGGTTGGGGGTGAGAGTCAAGTAGACAATAAAAGCAAAAGTGTTTTGTGAACTGGGCTCTCAAGTCACTCATTATTTGATTACCAGACTGACTAAGAGAGGGAAAGGCAGGGCTGCAGTGTATCTTGAAGGGCCAGAGGCACTTTTGCTTCTGTGGACTTCTTCCTCCATAAAAATAATAATAATAATAATAATAACATTAAAAATTATATTTTCCAGCTTGTTGTTGGTATAAGGATACTTACAGTCCAGGTTAGATAGAGTCATCTTTTTTCTTCCGAATTTAAAAGAAATCAAAACATTTTTGTGGACTTCCTGTGTCTGATGGAGAAAGAGCTTATTCATGGTCCATCATAGGTGAGAGATGCTGTGAAGGTTTTATTGGTAACAGGGAGTCAGCTAACCAAATGCCTCTTCTCTCATCTCTCATTTTCAGCAAAGGGCATCAAATCTGAAATGCAAGCAGCAATGAGGAAAAGTGAAAAGGAAGAGTTTTAAAAGTCAACTTAAAAGAGTGGCTGAAGGAATTCTTCGACCTAAAGTGTGAGGTTGCTGATCTCAGGACACGGAGATAACAGATCCTAAGCCAAGACGTGCCTCTGTCCAGCACTGCCTGTCTGACTGGAAAAGGTGAGTTTAGTGGTGGAAACTGTCTTTTCTCTAAACTGTCGTGAAGGAATAATGTGCACAAAGCCCAAGACAAATTATGACAAAGGGATCATGATCTTATTGGAGAAGCTGCTTACAGGAGATTCCAAAATCCAGAGGGGGAATGTGCTGCTCTGTGGATTCATCATTAGCAAAGGGACCACCTGGTAATTCTGGAAGGGAAGGTGAGATCAGGGAAATGCAATGTTGAGTACGTGAGGGAAGGAAGGGGTCATTTTTGGGTAAGAAATTGAGGAGATGCCATATCATCTTCAGAGGCAGAGAATCTGAAGTACCAGAGCCAGTGATATTGAGTTCACATCGCGTTTCAGACCAATCGACACTTCTTGGAGGTAAACCAAAGTCAACCTACATGGTATCTTCTCAAGGAGGAGACTTATTGGCTGTTGACCAATCCGCTGAAATGACCACTATGTCAGAGCTGGATGAGTGACCAGGGGGAGTGCCAGGGCAAGACATCCAAGAAGACACTGGACCCCACAGCTGATGAGGTGGTTTCTGTCTCAGGCCAGGCAGTAGGACAATCATCAAATCCAGGACATACACAAAATGATTGGAGCAGTAAAGCCAAAAATTTACATGGGGAAGCAGGACCTGAACAATTCATTACTTTTTGTTGGAAAGTAAGACATAAAGGAAAACATAAGATCTCTGGAGTTCCATCAGCTTTTGTTTAAAAATTGATCCTGCCACTTGTTTCCTGGGTTATCTTGGGTTGGTGAATGAGTTTCCTGTGGCTGCTGTAACAAACTACCACAAACTGGGTGGCCCAAAACAATAGCAACTTATTATCTCAGAGTTCTGGAGGCCAGAAGTCCAAGATCAAGGTGTTGATAAGATCAATTTCTTCTGGAGTCTCTGAGGGATAATCTGTCCCACACCTCTCTCTTTGAGTTTGGTGGCTCTAGCAACCCTTGATGTTCCCCGGCTTGTAGCTGGGTCACTTCAATCTCTGCCTCCATCTTCACTTGGCCGTCTTCTCTGTGTCTCCATGTGTCCTCTTCTCAAAAGGACACTAGTCATTGGATTTAGGGCACATCCAAAATCCAGGATGATTTCATTTTGAGATCCTTAACTAATCTCATCTGCAAAGACGCTCTTTCTAAATAAGGTCACAGTCACAGGTTCCAGGTGGATGTGAAATTGGGGACAACAGGATTCAATCCAGGATAGTCAGTTACTGCACTTCTTTAATCTCTGTTCCCTTTTCTATATAAGGCAGATAATAACGGTTACTGGTAAGAATCAAATGAAAACATGCCTGTAAAATACTTCCAATTATCCAACCCAAAATGTCAATCGTACCAAGGCTGAGAAACCCATCAGTCAAGATTGAGAAACCCATCAGTCATTCTCTGACCTTAGCATGGTGCCCAGTGCATAGTAAATGCTTAATAGAAATTGGCTCCCTTTCCTTTCTTTTAGGCACCAGGTGGGGTGAGATATGGGTAAAAAGAAAAGAACCAAGCACATTATCCACTTGAAAACCCTCTGACAAGGCCAAATGGGACTATCTGGCTATGACTTGGCCCCAAAGGATAGTGATTAAAAAACAAACACTTCTCTATACAGAGATGTAGAGTCATCACAATTCTCCGGGGACTTACGTTGGCATTAGTTTTACTAATATCTTTTTTTAAACGTATCTGAAAATTCAACTTCACAGATTAATCTCTAGGCCTTCATGGGACATGAAGCTCATCTCTGCTGAAAGACTAAGTCAATGGACTCAAGACACCTCCCAGAAGCTCCTTTCAAGGCCAGAAAAGGGTGATGGATTTTAATTGAAGGGTTTCTCAACCTTGGCACCTATTGAAATTTGGGACCAGATCATTCTTTGTGGTGGGGCCATCTTGTGTACTGTAGGTTGCTTAGCAGCGTCCTTGGCCTCTACTAGATGCCGGTAACACCCCCAGTCGTGACAATCAAAAATGTCTCCACATTGCAAATGTCTCCTGGGTGGGGAAGAGAACAAAGTCACTGCTGGTTGAGAATCACTGAGTTAGACTAATAACAGGGGAAACGTCATTTCAGAGGAGCGTAGCAGAATAAACTTGAATTGATGAGTTTTTGCCATGCAACTGGACAAGCGTTACAATGTTGAATAATGTCAACAAAAAAGCTAGTCTGTGTTAAGCAATCTTGTTATATTCCAGACACTGAGCTACATTATCCTACAATAGGAAGGAGTTTTAGAAGTCACCTAATCTACCTGTTTTAATGTTTACATTTCCTTTACAATATGAATAATAGTTGTGGACTTATATCAAGAAATTACCATAAGGTTGTCATTGTGCTAAGCCTTTTAATTTGTTGTCTTGTTTAATTCTCATAGCTACTCTTATGAAGGAGATGTGATTTATCAACATAGACAGATGGGAATACTGAGTCCCAGAAAGGTTAAATAACTTGCCCAAGGTCACAAAGTCACAAAGTCACAAAGCTATAATGAAGCCGAGTTGGCATTCAAATCTTGCTCTAAGCCCAGAGTGTATTCTCTTAATTATATGCCAAAGAATCTACACACACCATATTCCTTCTCTTTGGCATGAGCTTTCTTTCTCTAGCAGCCAAGAAAATAATACCCACCCAGCTTTTGAAACTCAGCTCAAAGGTCTCTTCTTCTGCAAAGCATTTTCTGACACACACACATACCCCAGGCAGAGTTGGGCGTTAGACCTCTGGGGAACCCCAGCACAACATAAGTCTTTGTTGCATCCCTTTTCTTACCATTCTAAAGTGATTCAGTAACCCACTTACTCCCCATATCAAACTCTAAGTTCTTTGAGGGCAATGTTAAAAGGCGTTTTTATCTCCAGCTCATATATCATGGATCGAATAAGACAGACACTACCTCATGAAGCTCTCTGTTCCACTTTGGTGTATGTCTTGTTAGACCCATAATTGGCCTCTATGGTTTCCACCCACAGGTAGAATCAAATAGTTATGTCTTCCCTCTCTTTCTGGGACAGTTAGATTTTGAGGGCAGCTCTTACCTGTCCAGAGCAACCGTTCTCAACCACATCATCCAGAGATGTTTTCTCTAGTAAGTTCCTATAAATTCACTCTGTTTATATTTTTACATTGATTTCTATTAAAAAGTATATGGTTTACTTGTTTATTTGTTTCTTATATCTCTCATAAGTGCAGGAAACTTGTCCATCCTTTTCACCATTGTGTAGCTAATGACCCCTTCAGTGATCAGCACTTAAGAGGAGTAAATGAAGAATAGTTGGGGACAGGAAAATGAAGAGCCTTGGTATGATAGAAAATCAGAATAAGCAGTAATTTAAGATGGCCTTAAATGTCAGCTTTACTGTGGCATCAACGATGGAAAGAAAGGGGCAGGCAGCAGTGAGGCAAGGAGAAAACCCTTTATCAAGTTTCATGATTAGAGGGACTAAAGTCAGAGAAGATGAAAGATATCCAAGATAAGTATTATCAATGATTTGGGTACCAGGTCTTGAGCAGACAACCTCCCAACACTAACCCTTCTTGGTCTCTAAGCAGCCTACCTCCTTTGGACATCTGGTAAAGCAGACCTCTGCAAGGATCTATGCAAGGCTGAACACTCCCGGTTATGAAATGCTGGCTTCTCTGTATTTCTCTATACACTTCTCTGTACTTCCCCATTGATGATGGCAGCAGATGCCTCTTTTGCCGGGAAGTTCTCAGTGTTGGAGGTGATGTGTGTGAACAGTGTTCCAGGACAATCTGAGTTGTCATGCAAGATGCTATTGAAGGTAAGAAGGTCAAGAGTAAGTATTCTTCGTGAGGTGGGGACAGTCCCTCCTCATTCTTCATCTTTCTTGTCCACTGCATTCATTCAGCACATTTTTGTTGAGTATTTAATATGCACTAAGTGTAATGTTCTCCACTCCCATCCTATGAAATTAAACTTTAAAAAGATGGATAATGTTCCAGACAACTTGTCACTCACAACCTGACCATTCGATTCCAGCCTCTGTTACTGATATGTCCCCTTACAGATGTTTTGGATCCACATTCAACATGTTACCCCATCTTTGACACTTCCCAGACCTTTGCGCTCCCAATGATTTTGGAAACAAGCCTTTTTGTGTGGTTTTGGACTTGAGTTTTTGATCCATCATCATCACCCCCTATCACCTTAGGCAAGGTCTCCTTACTTCATTTTCTAATCTCTTCAGAATCCCACCTCTGCTTTGTCCCTCAGAGCATCTGGAATGGGGCATATTCCAATATTCCACTGGGGCTGACTTGCACTCTCTAGCGTGGGGACTGACAGTTTAACTGTAAGTGTTGGTGGGTAGTGCTTGTCTGGAGGGTGGAGGCAAGATTTTGACACAGAAATGGCAAAAGCAGGGTGTTATGATGCTGTTCTCCATCTCCTAATCAGAGCAGACTGAATCAATCATGGTGTATTTTTTCCTACTGAGATTGAATGTGCTCATCATCATTCTCAAGAGACTCCAGCAGCCACCATCAAGCCATTGCAGTTGGCATGTAAGACGGAACTACCCCCCACTGAGACTCTTTGTCACAAATCCTGCTCCTCCTACAGATACATGATGCCTCCCAGAGGACGAGGGAATCAAATCAGTCAGTGACCTCGGACTTCACTCTCATGGGGCTCTTTGGCCACTCGGGGCCACATCTGGTCCTGTTCTCCCTTGTGGCAGCGACATTCACCACGGGTCTTCTAGGCAATGCCATCCTGCTCTTCCTGATCCACACAGACTCCAGGCTCCACACACCCATGTACTTTCTGCTCAGCCAACTCTCCCTGTTGGATGTTGGCTTTCCACTGGTCACCATGCCCAAAATGGCAGCTAACTTCCTGCAGGGTGAGAGTTCCATCTCCTTTGAGGGTTGTGCAGCTCAGATGTTCTTCCTGATGCTATTGGGTGTCTCTGAGGGTGTCCTACTATCTCTCATGTCTTACGACCGCTACGTCGCTGTGTGCCACCCCCTGCGTTATCCTGTGCTCATGAGACACCAGGTCTGTCTGCTCATGGTTGGCACCTCTTGGTTGTTAGGTGTGCTTGTATCCTCCATTCAGACCTCCATCACCCTGCACTTCCCCTACTGTGCCTCACGCAATGTGGATCACTTTTTTTGTGAGCTGCCTGCTCTGCTGAAGCTCTCTTGTGCAGACACCTCTGCATATGAGTTGGCGCTATCCATCTCGGGGGTGCTGATCTTGCTGCTGCCCCTGTCCCTCATTGCCACCTCTTATAGCCACGTGTTAGGGGCCGTTCTCCGCATGCACTCAGCTGAAGCCCGACACAAGGCCTTCACCACCTGCTCCTCCCACATCACTGTGGTGGGGCTCTTTTATGGGGCAGCTGTGTTCATGTACATGGTGCCAGGAACCTACCACAGTCCACAGCAGGACAACGTCGTCTCCCTCTTCTACAGTCTCGTCACCCCCACACTCAACCCCCTCATCTATAGCCTGAGGAACCGAGAAGTTCGAGCAGCTTTGGCCACAGTCCTTGGCAAAACTGGTTTCAAATCAAAGAGAAGACATCATGGGGGATGCTGGCACCCTCCAATATAGCCGAGATCTTTCTTTCATTTGCAGTTTATGTGGCGCAAGGCGTTCTATGACCAGCTCCCTTCCTCCTCCCAGAATCATGTTTTCTCTTGTAGATTTCTAAGAAACAAACATAGCAATCCTAATCACTTAAACAAGAGGAGTAGCTTGGTTTTCATTCAGCTTTAAACAAGGAAATTTTTACTACAAGCATGCCAACCCAACGTCAGAGATGGATCCCAGCTCTTAGATATTTTGGCCACCTACTAGTGTCCTACCTTACACCATTCTTATACATTAAGAATGTAAGTAACAGGTCTGACATCCAACCCTTGAAATCCAAACAGGAAAGAGGATTCTGGGACTGGTGCTCTGACAGTGATGATTGGATGGTCCCTGTCTGTGTTGGTTCTTAGCAGTGTCTCTGTTTGAGTCATTTGTTTAGGATTTACATAAGTGGAAGACTGTTACCCAAGAAGACTCTGGTTGAATAGCCCAAGCACATGTTACTTTTACTGTCTCAATTATTATAGAACAGAGATGTAAGATGGTGAAGCTCATTCTCGACTGAATGTCACAGCCATCTAAGTTTGGATTATGCCATTTTTAAACTTCTATTGCCATTACCAATGGGAACATGAGTTAAGATTACTCAATTGAGGATGTCCAGGGGAATGATATGACCCTGTTCTTTATCTTTGCAGAGATGTTTATCTAACGTATCTTTGGATAAAGAGTCAGCACCATATCTATGCATACGAAGCCTGAGTTGACATGTCATCCTAAACATTTTGAATGGCAGGTGCCAAATATGAGTGGCGGTATTGTGTGTGTTAAGGAAAGGGGTTGTGGAGGGGGGCTTTTAAATATTTGAACTATGCAATCAAAAAGCGCACACTCAAGCTCAAGCTCTATTCTTAAAGCTGTCTGGGACCAGTCAATATAAGCATCAGGAATGATACGTGTAATATACTATCCTGCAGTATAGTAGTATAACTTTACTAAGTATAAAATCTCTATAATACTGTACTATAGTATTAGGGATGTCTAATACTGGAATTTATGTGGGCAACAATTGAGCTTTTATTTGTAAAGCACCAAGGCTTTCTGCTATCACAGCATATACTCTCAACAACACTGTGAGCACATACCATTATTGTCTTATTTACAAAGAAGCTGAAGCACAGGGAGTTTAGGTAACATGTCCAAAATCACACAGCTAGAAAGTAGGGGAGCTGACATTCAAACCCAGGCTGTCTGAGTGCACATTTCAGAATTCTTCCAGCTGTCAAATGACTTCTGAAGATTATAAAAGAAGTTTTAAAAATCAAAGTAAGGAGATACATCATAGAGGCAATAATTCTGCCTCCAGCTTGTGGGGTCACTCTGAGGTCATAGGTGGGCAAGTTAAGGTCAGAGACAAAACTGGAAGCCCCTTATCATGGTCTTGCTGCTCTAAGAATTGAGCAGGTGAGTAGGGTGGGGAGGGGATGCTTTATCCAGTTTTCCAAACCAGCAAGATCAAGCCAGAAGGAACTTGAATTTTCTCTGTTGCCTTTCCCTTGGATTTCTACCCCTACTCCTCCCAGATCCAGTAAAACATTCCTGAAATTACAAGAAATAGACTTGAAGTTTAAAAAATAAACTTAAAATACTTTTTAGAAATGTTCCATTGTGTTAGATTCAGAGAGGGGAACATAGACAAGAGTAAGAGTCCATAGGGCTGGTCGATTTTATTAGATATTTCGTGAACACTGCAGAAGGAGCAAAAGGTTTTAAGCCCTGCTCAGTGGGAAAACTGATGCCAGCGCTGGTTCTGTTTCTTCCTCTTCCTTCATCTAAACGCTGACCTCGTCACAAAGACTGGCTCACCTCTTCTTCCTTCTCACACACGATTGAGATCCCTAAAAGATGAACAGCTTCATCGTAAAATACACACATTCTTTATTTTGATAAACAGTCCCAAATTACCCTGCAAAGATTGCCACCCGTGGGTGAGAGTGTTCATTTCCCCAACTATGTCACCAACATTTTGAATGATGAAACTTCACATTTTTGCCAATTTCCTGGAGGAAAATTATATTCTTTGTCATTTAACTTTCAGTGTCCCTGATTTCTAGTGAAGGTGAGCATCTTTTCATAAGTTTATCAGCCAGTCAAATTTCCTTGACTACGGGTTTCTTGTAAAAGTATGAGGAGAAAATCATGAAAATACTAATCATAAGAAACTTGGCATAGAGCATATACAGCATGGGGATCCTGGACAAAGGGATAATTCATGTCCTAGGAGGAATGGAGCATGACAACGCGAGATTGCATCATACACACTGCTCCTAACGGCATGTAATTTAAAACTTAGGAATTGTTTATTTCTGGAATTTTCCATTTAATTATTTTGAATCGTGATTGCGGGTGACTTAAACCACAGAACAGGAAACCACAGAGGGGAGATTACTGTGTTAATATCAGACAAAGCAGACTTGAAAGCGAGAATTATCGGAGAGAAAAACATTTCATAATAATAAAAAGGTCAATTCATTGAGAAAAATAAATGTTGTGGATGAATTCATTCCTCAACGCGCTTCACATTGATCCCTGACTCTTCTATGGTGTGTATTTCAAATCCAACAGCTAGGGGGAGCTAGCGTTTCAAAATCAAGTACGTCATTCGCAAGATCCTCCAGACATTTCTCCACCGGGGATCTAGCCAGAAGCAGCTATCTTTTCCTCATCAGAGTTCTGTAGTGCCTGCCCCCACTCTGCAACTTCCTGTGAGATATACGGATGAAAAAAAAATAGAATGAAGCAGAATTTTGCTTCAAAACACAAAAGGAGAACCACAAAATTGAAATCAATAAATGTTTAAAGAAATGACTACCAAATGAAATGTGAAATCAGCTTCACTAATTGTTGGCTTTAGCATTTATAAAAATGCCAATCTTGCCCACAAAAGTTTGCTGAGAGAGTAGTAGCTCTTAAGCGTTCTCATCACAAAAATAATGGTAAATGTATGAGGTAGTGGATGTGTTAATTAACTTGATTATGGTAATCATTTCACGAGGTATACATATACCAAATCACCACATTTTACTCCCTAAATATATACCATTTTATTTGTCAATTATACCCCAATAAAGCTAGAAAAAAGGATTCCACCTGAAAAACAAATAAAAGAAATCCATAAGCAAAATAAAAATGTTACTATTGTTGTTTCGATCCACTAACTTTTGAGAGAAGAGGAGGCGGAAGAGCTGGAAGGCCATCAGCTGATAACTGAAATAGCTGGGTTGGAAGTCACTTTTCCCTGTAAAACCTCAAAACCATCAAGAAGACTATCGGACATTCAGATCTGTACGCACTAACGTCAATCATGATAAATCCCTTGAAGTTTAAGCTAAGAATTCTGTGAAGCCCCATAATCATAAATCCATTTACATAGAATTTATTTCATTCTTGATTTTTCTAAATTAATATTTACAGGTATGCTTTATAACATATTCTATATTATCTCTGTAGCAGATGTACGTAATTTATGAGTAGGTATGGCCATGTGGTTCAAATGGTTTTACTTATAAAAGTGTGTGTCAAAAAGTTCAGAGACCTCATCTAGGGATAGAAGCCATGACGAGATTCTGAGCTGGAGATGGGCACCATGGATTTGCCACAATGACCCAAAAGTACCAAGGGAATTCTGACATTTCCAGAGCCCTTGACCAAAGTTCCCCCCGGGATAAGTACCTCAGAGTTCGAGGTCTCTCGCCATCCCAGGATTAGCAGGAGTGGAGGAAAAGGAAAAAAGAAAGAACCAACAAATATTGTTTGCTTTCCTCAAGAGACCGCATCTAGCAATGGTTCCATTCTGAGCAGACAATAATTTGGCATCTGGTTCCCTAATGAGGCACTCAAGTCTTCAGCCCAGATTTCAAGGATTGGGTTACGAGCACTAAATTTCACTCCTGAGGGACCGCGGACCTACTTCTCCATCACTCAAAGGCCCAGACCACATTCTCCATGCAACCCAGCTCACCACTCAACAGATATCTCCAGATCCAGAAGACAGAGATATATGGGTCACCCTGGGCTTATTGTCTGATATCATAGCTCACCTGCCAGGTAAATGGAGAGAGAGGTAAACAGGTGGAAACAGAAAGAAAGAGCAGGAGATCTGGAGTCAACCAAACCTGCTGTGTGACCTTGGGCAAATGACTTTTCCTCTCTGAGCCCTGACTAGTCTTCATATTGTATAAATGGGACCAGAAAGTCTTCGTATAAGTAAGCTGTGCTGGCTTCTATATCATAATGTTTAATAAGAGTGGGCTTTGGAACCAAAAAGACTGAGCAATTTGACCTCCCTGCACCTCAAAGTCTTCTGAAGAATAGAGATCATATTAAAATAAATGAAAGAACGGAGAGGGAACTTTAGCTGCAAAGGCAAAAAAAAAAAAAAAAGTGTGTGAAAGGTTATTGTGTCGAGGAAGGACACTTCCTTCTAGGTGGAGTTTGAATTTTGTGGAGATGGGATAACTACGAGAGAAGAGGAGGAGGAGCTGGAAGCCGTCAATGGCGATAGGTTGATTTTTCTGCACACCCTCGCAGGGTGCGTTTCCCAATTAGGACGCGGGGAGGCGCTGATATATCGCCGCTCCGGGTTTTTCCAAAAGTCTCTGAAGATGTTCAAGACCGGAAGAAAAAATTAAAAACCATACTCGATGTTTGAAAACATAAACACAAGGATACAAAATAAAAATCAAACGTTTGAATGAAATTTCTTCTTAAGCTAACATGATGTCAGCTTCATTCATTTTTGGCTTTAACGTTTCCCCCAAATGTCATAGGTTGGAAAGTTATCTGTGGTTAGTGTTAGCCGTTCTCCGTTTGCAAAAATTCCTGTAGACACACATAAGTAAATGAGTTTTTCATGACATTTAAATAATTTCAAAAGAAAAAGTATAACTATTCTTTCTCCTTTTTAAGCAGAGGAAGAAACAGATATATTGTGGATGCTTTTTAATGCGTTTGCTATG